AAAACCCCAAAACCCCAAAACCCCAAAACCCCAAAACCCCAAAACCCCAAGCTATTAAGATATATAGTCAAGTTGATATTTTAAAAGTGGATCAAAATATATTCAATTAAATTTTTCATGGTAATTGACAAGACTTGACATAAGCCATCCGAAATCATTCTCTCTTATTCTACTTAAGATATGATACTTTTCTCACTGATCATCTTCATTTTCAGAATTTTCTTAATTCTGCTAAATTCTGTACTCATCGTAGTTCTAATTCCTATCTTAGTTATACTAATTTTGCTAATTAAAGTTGTGCTCGATAAAAGTACGATTATCGCTTTCCTAATTAAACTAATTCTTACTCTTCTAAGTTTTTGGTGAAATCATTGCCTATTATAATGCATTTTAATTCAAATTCTTAACGGATGCATTGTTGTTGTTGTTATTTTGTTGACTGAACTAACTCAGAGAAGGGTTTTATTATGTTTTCACTATCTTTGATGCTTGATTGAGATTAATTAGCTAAACTTGAGAGCTTATATTTGTAATTGCCTGCGTTTACTTGACTTCTTTTTACTACTGCAATTATTATTATTGCTGTTACTACTGCTACTGCTATTCTAATTGCTTCTACAACTATAATTGTTGAATCTAAGCCTGCTTTTTCTAATCTTCCTTAACAATATGGTCAACAAAAGTAATTAAATTGGCCCAGAGTACATCATTTACCACACCATCTTCAGCCACCTTCACATGCTTCTAGAATTTAATTACTTATGATTCTGTTTTATCTCCAAATATGCCATCAATTCTTAGAGGTAAGTAATTTTGAACGGTGTTTTAAGATTCTTAGTCTTTATTCTACTTCATTTAGAGGACTGATACCTCATAGATTAGATTGAGCATATGCTAAAGACTTTAAACTTCTTCATCAACAGTATTTTAATATTCATCTTTCACTTTTTTTAGATTTTATGACAATTTTTGTGGAATTAATATTCTATCAGGAGCAACTTTAAACTCTTTCCTGACATAATTTGGAATTGAAAAGCTAAGCTTTTACTAGCTTTATTGAGACACATGCTTCCTTTCATCATCATGAGAACTTATGTAAACTTGTGAGGGTATTTTTTTATATTCAAAATCATTGTTTTGAGACTTCTTATTATTTGATTACTAGTTTTGAATTTGGGAATATTATCCACTTGACAATTACTGCTAAGAACTTGGATTAGGATGAGATATTGTCTATTTAATTGGTTGTGATTTTAAATCTTGAGATGACTTCTACATATTTTAAGCATCACTTAACTAAGCACTAGACTATTACTTCTTTTTCGCCTCATATTTCTTCTTCAATTCCTCCATTCCCCTTTTGTATTGTTTCTTTGCTGATAGGATTTAATTCAAGAATTCAGATTTCAACTACATTTCTTCTTATTATCCACCCATTGCCTCTATTATCTCATTAATTGATGCAATGTTTCTCCCTTGCATATATTAAAAAAATGAGTCGACACTTTCAAATAGTTTACTGAACTAAATTTGGGCTTGATCTTTGCTAATCTTTTACGGACTTTCTTTCTTTAATGTTTGCTAAGTCAATAAAGACTGTATCTCTACTTTAGGAATAACCTATTACTTATTTTCTATCTAATAGTTTAATACAGTCTAATCCTTTTTAGATACAATTGATTGAATCACATTCTCAATAACAAGAATTTAACTTTAAGGTAAATCAAGTTCTCTTACCATCTCCTCAGCAACACCTTTGGCTGTATCTTATCTATTATCAAATTCGAATAAGACTTCTTAATCCTATGTACCATCTTATGATCTTACCTTGAATGTTATTTGAAAAGTATATGGTTTTTCTTCTAATTATTTTGATTGCAAAAGGTAAACTAGGGGCTGTTAACTTACTTATTGTTATTGAGAAGATTATTAACTTTGTTAATATTGCTAACTTTACTAAACAGGTCTCTGACCTTATGTAGTTTAACTGGCTTGCCCCGGTGATATTTTTTATTATAATTACTACTAACTTATCTACTGATGTGGTTCTTTTCTTTTTTGATCAATTGATTATTATTAAATTTTTGATTCAACTTAATGATGACCAGTATTTTATTATTGCTTCTATCGATCGTGATCTTGAATTACTGGCTAAGTCTTGTGATGATTATATTAAAGATTAGCATTTTGTTGCTATTTGTGGGAATTTTAAGGTTAAGTTGTAAAAGTCTGATAAACTTGCTAAGTAACAGAATTTTTATAATCGATGTTTTTGTTGGTACTTGCTTTCTTGATTTGATTAGGATTTAGACCTTCTGTTGACTATCTGCCGAATTATGGATGAGAATCGCCATATGGAGTTTTTGGATATCCTTTGGTGTTCTATGATGATATGTCATCCATTTAGCTTCTTGGTAGTTAAATTCCCTCTACCTCAGAATCATGATTTTTATCTGAATTATCTTCACTAGACGATTACTTGTCAAACAGTGATTCTTGATTTTAAGTACTTTCAACAATATGGGAATTAACATGAGTGAGTTTTTGCTATGATGCTTTTGTAGCTTGATTTGTAGCAAAAGAAGATTTACTAGATGAAAGATGAGAATCTGAACTTTAATGATAATACTAAAGATGTTGTTACTTCAGTTTATTATCTTGTTAAAGAGAATTTACATTTTGAATTCCCATTGCTTGTGAAGTTGATTGGGGATTAGGAGTGACTTTCTTTGAGTCATCATTCACAAATCCTACATTACTATTAATATTAATTTGCTTTAAATCTTAGGGTTAAAGATTGGAAACTCTATTGTCATCTTTATTGCTTAATTGATTGCCACTAACCATACTAGTTTATGATCTTAAAGTATGAGTGGTTGATCCTGCTACTTGCTTTTATTAAGTTTAAGCTCCAGCATCTTCCTTAAACTATTTCTTACTAATGCCAAGAGTGCTAGCCTCTTTCTTCTCTTTTTTAACCTCAACTGTTGAAATTGGATTGACTTGTTATTAAGTAGCTAAAAATGCCAAATTTTAACTAGATGCAGAGATACCAGCTTGGTTCAATTTCTTAGGTTAATTTGAAGAATCTTGATGGGCCAGCAATTATTATGGCAATGTCTAAACTTAAGCATTCTCAGATAAATATCCTTACTTTTACTGAATTTAATTAAGAGCTTGACTCAGTTAATTATGATTAATTTGAGCTAAAGGATTAGTTTATGAATGGAGCTATTAAATTTATTAATGCTAAGGCTATTATTAGCTTATCTATTATTGCTGTTGTTAATGAGATAGATGCTAATGATGCTGCTATTGTTGAGACTAACTATATTGCTGTTATTACTACCATTATTATTGCTACTAATCTTTTTATATTATAGGAGTCTATTGCTACTATTAATTAATTTGCTGCTTTGCTTGGATTAAGGACTATGTCTATTATTGAAGCTTTAGTTGTTATTAAGCATCTTATTCTTGCTACAACTATAACTCCTATATTTACTAGAGTTATTATTTTTATTGCTTTTGCAATTATTTAAGTTTCTCTTATTCTTACTATTATTTAAGTTTCTCTAATTCTTGTTATTATTTAAGTTTCTCTTATTCTTGCTCAAATTTCTATTTCTCAAGTTCTCTATCCTATTAGAGTAGCTCATCAAGCATGTTTTCTTGGACCTTAACATCTTCCTTCTCAGAATCATTATCGTTATCTATGTTTTATGACTAAAATTAACTCTGGTCCTGTTCATTGTTATCTCCCAAATTCTGGATCTTACTTCTTTCTTGCATTTTCTTCTATTTCTATTTATCAATCTTATTCAAGAATGTGACAGACTCATTCAATTTTTATTTCTTAAGACCACTTTTTCTTTTCTTTTTATCAATTATAGACTCTGATTAACCTTCTTCCATTATCTCATAATTTTCTTTTTTTTCATCGAGGGTTTTTACTTCTTAGGTTTAAGGAATTTATTCTTTTAATTACTCAGTTTATTTCTCTGATATTTCAGTTTTTATGTATGATTATTAATTATCCTTGTTGGTAGTACCAGTTTCAGAAGATTACTTTTCTAGTTTTTAACTTACAGCTGGTGTAGAAGGTTCACTACCCTTAATAACCTACGATTTCTTTTACTCATTGTCTTCCTCAGAATCTTCTTCCTCTACTTCAAATATAGTTCTACCTTGCATTTTCAAATACTCAAGTGACTTCTTTCTTTTGATCCCTTTTATTTTGGTTGGGGGCTTTACTTTGACCTCTTTATTATTCTTTTCACTCTCTAAATCTTTCATAAACTTTGATTCTAAAAGATCTTTGGCTTCTGGTCTTTAATCAGCTCTAGTAAGGCATTAAAGTATGAATTCTTTTATCTCCTCATCTTCGATTCTTTCAAGTGCTTAAGGCCTAATACCTTGAATGACTTTATTGTAAATCTAAGCTGGATTCTAGCATTCCTTATAAGGTCTCTCCAAAGTTATCATCTCAAGCATGCACATACCAAAGGCATAGATATCAACACTAGTCCCATAACATTCCTCATATAATTCTGGAGCCATGAATTCTGGGGTTCCTAAAACGGATGTTGTATAAGAATTCTACATTGGTGTTGAAAGTCCTAAATCACCAATTCTTATCTCACCAGAATGTGAGTTAATAAAGACATTATCACATTTCAAATCTCTATGAATAATCGGATGAGGCTTTTACTCGTGCAGATAAACAAGTCCTTAAAGAATTTACGAGCACCAACCTTTGATTACCCTTAATCTGGGTCTTTTTATTTTCTTAACAAATTATCTTAAGCTACCTCCAGTAATCATCTCAGTGATAAATATAACTTTTTCTTTTTACTTATTGACCCATGCTGAAATGAAGTGTATAATGTTTTTGTGCTGTAAGATTTTAATTAAATCTATCTCTGATTTTATCCTTACTCTGTCTTGTTTAGGCATTCTCTTGAAATTGATTACATTCCAAGCAATTTCCCTTCCAGTCTCGTTATCTATGCCTTTATAGACTATTTTATAAGCACCTCTTCCAAGTTCCTCTCCATATCTTTAAAACCTGCCTTTAGGTGAAACTTCAACAACAAAACTAGATTCGGTGTGGGTTCTTTCATCATCATCATCATTATCATCTTAATCCTCATCACTCTTATCAGAATCTGAGTCGTTGTATTTCTCCTTTTTCTCAATTTTTTCTTCCTCATTTTCATTAGATTACTTTGAATTTGATTGGCCAGAAGTGCCTTTTTTAATTTAAGATTCATCTGGTATCAATTTAGAATTTTTTTCTGTAACCTATGTCTGCTTAAAATCCTATTTCTCACCATAAATCTCCTTTTAATCAGCACTCTATAATCTTAAATTCGCCTCATCACTGTCCTTAAATGCTTAGTTTTTTTAAGAATATGTCTAGATTATTTCAGATTCTACATTTTATTATCTTGGTGATGAAGATGATGAATTAGATTGATTTTAAGTTTTTTTCTTCTTATCATCTTCTGAGCTTGTGCTACTTGGTGAACTTGAGCTATCTTTATTCTACCTCTATACTTAGTTTTTCTAATTTTATTATTAGCTTTCAAATTCTGCCTTAAATTTCGTCTCTTCTATTTTCTAAGCTTATAACTTGAGGAGATTCTCATTTGAATCTGAAATGAAAGCTTTCCCTTCATTCTTGGGCTATTAATTGTTGTTATTCCGGATATGAGTTTCATTTACTTAAGAATTCACATCACCATTTATTTTATTAGAAGTCTAATCTTGATTTTGAGTAAGTTTTTATTCATTCAAATTATTTGCGGTCTATATTAATGTCAGAAACTTAGAATGATCTTTACATTTTTGTTTTATGACTCATATTTATGGATCATGAGATTTGATTAGCCTGTATATTTTTGAATTTCCTCCTAATTTGATTTAGACTAATGATATCTTTTCTTACTTAATTCTAATAATTAGAGTCTAAATCCATCTCTTCTGCGGTATCTTTGGGCTCCATTTTCAATTTAAGCGACTGAAAACTTATGCTTCTATTAAATATATTAGTTTTTCATTTTCATGATAATTTAATGTAATAGCACGAATGGGGTTTTGGGGTTTTGGGGA